GAGCTCGTGGGGTCGGGGTTACCCCCATCCCCGTGCAAGCCGACTTGGCGTCCGAGGGCAGAGTCCAGACCACAAGGATCTGGAGCTCAGGAGAGACGCGTGGTCCACATCGCGAGAAAGCTGTGGGAATCCAAATACTGTGGCGATTGGCAGCCCCGTAGGCGAGGCGGGCTGGAGACCCGCCCGGATTTAGGCGCGAGCCACCTCCAGGGGCGGAGCCCAGGCCGCACTGCGCAGGCGCGGCTAACCCGTTTCCATGGCTGCGAGAACTCACGCTCCCCAACCGTCCCACAACTGTCCTGTCCCAGACTTTGGCACCGTCGGGGTCCGTCGTCCCCGAGTGTGTCAGCATCCCCACCCCGGCTGCTGCCCAGGATCCGTCGGACCCCGGCCTCGATATGGGAGACCTGGAACTGCTGCTGCCCGGGGAAGCTGAAGTGCTGGTGCGGGGTCTGCGCAGCTTCCCGCTACGCGAGATGGGCTCCGAAGGGTGAGGCACCCGGGTCAGGCGGAGTCACGGAGTCATTGTCCCTGAGTGGGGGAGCTGGAGCCTGACATCGGGGGAGGGGCTGCCCAGTGTGGAGGGGCTCCCAAATGGGGGAGCAGAGTGTTCCGAGACAGGAATATAATTGCTCCTGAGCCCCCTGTGTCCCCTCAGGATCAGGTTAGGCTTCAATAGGATCCAACCCCCATCCCCACTCCAAATGCACACACGTGGACCCACATGCACTTACACACCCTCTGAGGCAGGTGGAACCAGCAGCACGAGAACCTGGAGAAGCTGAACATGCAAGCCATCCTCGATGCCACTATCAGCCAGGGCGAGCCCATTCAGGAGCTGCTGGTCACCCATGGGAAGGTACCCCGAGGTCACAGGCAGGGTTCCTGCCTTCCCCCATACCTCACCTACTCTAACCCTCAGGAGTCCCCTGTGTGCTTTTCCCCTCTGGCCTGGTACACCTGAAGGGGAGAGAGGAATGTGTTACATGTTTCATTTTGTGTCCCTGTTGGACAGGACTCTGGCACACCAGGCTGGGTACAGGGCATGAGTTGATTAGGGAGAAAGCTGTAGGTCCTAAAACAGCTTAGGCTTCGAGGGGAAGGCCCAAATGCTAAAGGCATCTGTGAATTGACTGTAAGGCTGGGGAGGGGGTGGGGAGGGCAGGAGGGAGGGGAGATAACTTAACTGGAAGTAGAACTTTGGCATGGAAGGAGGTAGCCTTCCTAACATGAGAGGGGAAAGTTAGAAACCAGGGAGATGGCTGGCTGGAACATGGACCAGGGAGTGTCACCAGCAGATGACCTGAGATATCAATTCACCAAAAAAAAAAAAAAAAAAAGCCAGGCGTGGTGGTTCATGCCTGTAATCCTAGCACTTTGAGAGGCCAAGACGGGTGGATCACCTGGGGTCAGGAGTGCAAGGCCAGCCTGACCAACATGGTGAAACCCTGCCTCTACTAAAAATACAAAAATTTGCTGAGCATGGTGGTGCACACCTGTAATCCCAGCTACTCGGGAGGCTGAGGCAGGAGAATCGCTTGAACCTAGGAGACAGAGGTTACAGAGAGCCGAGATCGTGCCACTGCACTCCAGCCTGGGTGACAAGAGTGAAACTGTCTAAAAAAAAAAAAAAAAAGAGTTCCTTTGCAAGAGAAAGGTGGAACGCATACAAGGGGATAGGATAAGAAGAACAGGGCACTGTGAAGGGTCCTGAGTAAGAGTGAGGCCAAGGCACACAAGAGCCTTAGAGAACCACAGGACAGGGACAAGAGGGAGGGCATGAGCAGAAGGGCTGACTTGAAAGGGACGCCTGAATGGGCGGGGAGAGGATAAGGGGGCAGGTGCAGGCAGGGCAAGGCAGTCTGGGAACTGGGCAGGAGCCAGTCACATAAGCATGAGGGACATCCACAGAGGTGTTGGGAGCAGCTGGAAACGAAGGTCTGAAATGCAAGAGAAAAGTCAGGAAGGATAGCCATGGGGTTTGGGATAGTTTAGGGGCCCAGCAGTGTTTGGGGAGATCTGGGCTGAGCTGAGCCGAGCTGGGGATGGGAGGGTTGCCAGGCAAAGGTAGGCCCATCTCATCCCTGTCCTTTACCCCATCCTTCAAAGGTCCCAACGCTGGTGGAGGAGCTGATCACAGTGGAGATGTGGAAGCAGAAGGTGTTCCCCGTGCTCTGCAGGGTGGAGGACTTCAAGCCCCAGAACACCTTTCCCATCTACATGGTGGTGAGCTGGGCCCCTGGTTCATACCTCCTCCCACTCCTTCAGAGGGCTCTGGACTGGGGAGGGGAGCTGGTAGCCCCTATCCCTACCACAGGCCCTGTCCCTCTCTTTGTCTGTCAGGTGCACCACGAGGCCTCCATCATCAACCTCTTGGAGACAGTGTTCTTCCACAAGGTGAGGGACTATCTCTGCCCATGGGCCACAGTTTCAGGTCAGGGCCTGGCAGGAAGGGAGGTTGTATCTGTGTGGGGAGGGCATCAGACACAGAAAGTTTCCCTCCCCCTTTCCCCAGGAGGTGTGTGAGTCAGCAGAAGACACTGTCTTGGACTTGGTAGACTATTGCCACCGCAAACTGACTCTGCTGGTGGCCCGGAGTGGCTGTGGTGGCCCCCCTGAAGGGGAGGGGTCCCAGGACAGCAACCCCATGCAGGTGGGTTGAGGTTACCTAGGATTGTGAAAGCCTAGGTCTGGGTTCCCCAAGGCCTGCACAGGCAAGAGTAGCCCAGCATGAACACTGTGTGACCTCGCAGGAGCTGCAGAAGCAGGCAGAGCTGATGGAATTTGAGATTGCACTGAAGGCCCTCTCAGTACTGCGCTACATCACAGACTGTGTGGACAGGTGGGCAGTCCGACTGGGCCTGGGCCTACCGTGGAGGGCTGGAAGACTGGGCCTGTAGCCTGCCTCTGCTCACCTCCTTCACAACGTCCCTGCCCCTAGCCTCTCTCTCAGCACCTTGAGCCGTATGCTTAGCACACACAACCTGCCCTGCCTCCTGGTGGAACTGCTGGAGCATAGTCCCTGGAACCGGCGGGAAGGAGGTAGGGTCCTCCCACACCAGCCTAAGCCCCAGGCTACTGCTTCAGGATATCTTTTTGATAGAGGGGGCAGTTTGCACACACGAAGACAAACCCCATCCCCAAGCCCATCTGAGGATACCAGGATGCCTCAGCCAAGGTTGGCCTAGACCTGAGCTCTGCAGCAGGCCAGGCCCATGTGTCCACTACTGAGGCTCACTCTGCTCTGGGGTCAGCAGCACTATAGCCTGGGCAAGTCCTGTGGCCCAGGTTCTCCCACCATTCCCAGGCAGTGGTCAGTCTCCCAGCCCCCACAGCTGGCTCACTTGAAGAGAATGCAATGCCTGTACCCAGTGTGCTGGTTCCTCTCCCCAGGCAAGCTGCAGCAGTTCGAGGGCAGCCGTTGGCATACTGTGGCCCCCTCAGAGCAGCAAAAGCTGAGCAAGTTGGACGGGCAAGTGTGGATAGCCCTGTACAACCTGCTGCTAAGCTCTGAGGCCCAGGCGCGCTACTGCCTCACAAGTTTTGCCAAGGGACAGCTACTCAAGGTCGGACTCCCTCTGCACCAGCCCCCACAGCCCCAGCACCGCCCTCCCCATCCTACCCTGACCCTGTCCCTGCTGTTTATCTTTGCCCACCCACCTCAACCCCGTGCTCTTTTCAGTCGTTGGGCCTCAGGTGACACACCAGCTAGTGGGACATGAACCCCCACAGGCATGCTCAGCCCAACCCAGCCCCTTCCTTTTCCGTGGCCCCCTGGCCAGCACCTGCATCACACTGGCCTCCACTGGACACTCTTGCAGCTTCGGGCCTTCCTCACAGACACACTACTGGACCAGCTGCCCAACCTGGCCCACTTGCAGAGTTTCCTGGCCCATCTGGCCCTGACTGAAACTCAGCCCCCTAAGAAGGACCTGGTGTTGGAACAGGTAGACACTGGAAAGTTAGCTCCTCAGGACCACTGTCCTACTTTACCAGCACCTTCCTGCCACTCTCCACTCCTTTCCCTAGATCCCAGAAATCTGGGAGCGGCTGGAGCGAGAAAACAGAGGCAAGTGGCAGGCAATTGCCAAGCACCAGCTCCAACATGTGTTCAGCCCCTCAGAGCAGGACCTGCGGCTTCAGGCACAAAGGTAAGTCCTGTGGAACTGGCAGGAGGAGTGGATGGGATGCAGGAGGCATGGATGTGGGCAGGGATGCCCCCACCTTCCAGGGCCAGTCAGACCTTCCTGACTTTCCCCCAGGTGGGCTGAGACCTACAGGCTGGATGTGCTAGAGGCAGTGGCTCCAGAGCGGCCCCGCTGTGCTTACTGCAGTGCAGAGGCTTCTAAGCGCTGCTCGCGATGCCAGAATGAGTGGTATTGCTGCAGGTGAGGGTATCCTAGGACCTTGGACCCCTAAGTCCTACTGCCACATCCCCCACATGCACTGCCATCCTCAACACCCACCTGCCTGCAGGGAGTGCCAAGTCAAGCACTGGGAAAAGCATGGAAAGACTTGTGTCCTGGCAGCCCAGGGTGACAGAGCCAAATGAGGGTTGCAGTTGCTGAGGGCCAACCACCTATGCCAAGGGAATCCACCCAGAATGCACCCCTGAACCTCAAGATCACGGTCCAGCCTCTGCCGGAGCCCCAGTCTCCGCAGTGGAGAGCAGAGCCGGCGGTAAAGCTGCTGACCCATCCCCCTCCTCCCCACCCCAAGGGAAGGCTCGAGACTTCCTGCCCCACCTGGTGGGCAGGCCAAGTGCGTTGCCTCAGCAAACTGGGCCAGGAGGGCGAAGGCCGGATGTGGGGACCCTCTTCCTCTAGCACAGTAAAGCTGGCCTCCAGAAACACGGGTATCTCCGTGTGGTGCTTTGCGGTCGCCGTCTTTGTGGCCGTCCGGGGTGGGGTGTGAGGAGCGGACGAAGGAGGGAAGGAAGGGCAAGGCGGGGGCTCTGCGAGAGCGCGCCTAGCCCCGCCTTCGGGCCCCAGAGTCCCCGCACCCAGGTTTCCATTGCGCGGCTCTCCTCAGCTCCTTCCCGCCTCCCAGCTTAGATCCTGGGGGCGGTGCTGACGTCGGGGCCCGCCCTGTGGCCCCGCCCGGCCCGCTCTTGCTAGCGCCCAAAGCCAGCGAAGCACCGGCCGGACCGGGCCATGTCCGCGGAGCCTGAGCTCATTGAGCTGCGGGAGCTGGCACCCGCTGGGCGCGCTGGGCAGGGCCGCACCCGGCTGGAGCGTGCCAACGCGCTGCGCATCGCGCGGGGCACCGCGTGCAACCCCGCACGGCAGCTGGTCCCGGGCCGTGGCCACCGCTTCCAGCCTGCGGGGCCCGCCACGCACACGTGGTGCGACCTCTGTGGCGACTTCATCTGGGGCGTCGTGCGCAAGGGCCTGCAGTGCGCGCGTGAGTAGCGGGCCCCGCGCGCCTACGAGAGCGGAAGGGGCAGCCAAGGGGCAGCGCCGTCGCCGCGGGTCAAGTCGCGGCAGAGGTGGTCGGTGGGGACAGCTCCCGAGGACTAGGTCCGTTACTTTCGCCCCATCGCTGAAGAGTGCGCGAAAATGGTTTATCCCTTGTCGCACTCCACTCGTATATGGGGCACAGATGAGCAGAGGTGGCAGCTTATATGTAAAAATATGCTGATTTCAAGTTTCTTATCTTTAAAATGCCTTGGCCTTTCTTGAGAAAGGGTTTGTGCCTACTGTCCTCGGAGTCCATCTTCCCAGGCTTGCCTCTTCTCAAACATTCGCTCACTGTGACCCCCTCCAGAACCTTTGGGGTGAAGGGAAGTTACCCACCTATGGGAGGGAGCCTGGAAAAAGTTAGAACCTTGGGTGTGCCCCCTGCAAGCAGGAGTTTTGTTGAGTATTTAGCAAACACCCTTGAATCAGAAGCTAAAATATGGAAGGCAGCCACACACCCAGCAGTCCTTCTGCACCCCTGGGAATCGCCAGCAAGCAAAGGTTGCTCTCCCCTAGCTAGACACCAGCTGGAATCACCAGGGGCGCTTTTACAGCCCTCCCACCCTCTAGCCTGGATCCCACCTCAGACCCATTGAATCAGCTGCTGGGAGTGGACTCTAGGCAGCAGTAAATTTTTTTAAATCCCCAAATTATTGTAACATGGAGTCTGGGTTGAGCATCAGTGCTCTGAGCCATTTAGGAACTAGTGGATAGATGGTGTCCCAGGTCTGTATGTGCATGGAGACCCTCTCATCTGGTACAAGAGGACATCACAAATTCAGCTGGGGGGAGCACAAAGTTGTGACAGAATACAAAGAATAAACAAGGGCCGAGCACGGTGGCTCAGGCCTGTAATTCCAGTACTTTGGAAGGCCGAGGCGAGTGGATCACCTGAGGTCAGGAGTTCAAGACCAGCCTGGCCAACATGGTGAAACCCCGTCTCTACTAAAAAATACAAAAAAATTAGCCAGGCGTGGTGGCGGGTGCCTGTAATCCCGGCTACTCAGGAGGTTGAGGTGGGAGAATTGCTTGAACCCACGAGGCGGAGGTTGCAGTGAGCTGAAATCACGCCACTGCTCTCCAGCCCTGGGGACAGATTGAGACTGTCTCAAAAAAAAAAAGAAAGAAAGAAAGAAAGAAGGAAGGAAGGAAGAAAAAGGCTGGGACACTGCAGCATTCTCAAAGAGAAATAAAGTGGCCATAGAGATAAGAAGCAGGATGATTTGGGCATGTTTATCAGAGGTAGAGACAAGGGAGGAATCAACGATAAGTTTGGGTTTTTGTTTCCAGTAACCGGGAGCATAGTGGCCATTTTTGCTGCAAAGAGGAAGCTGGGCAAGGGTAGCAGTGAGGTGGAAGAAAAGGGAATTAAATTTTGGCCATGTTCACTTGAAACGTCTTTTAGACATCCTAGTGAAGGTACTGGCATGGAGGATCTAATCTGAGGGTTTAGGTTAGTGTTTCAGCTGTGGATCTGGGGCAGAAGACTGTGTAGACAGACCAGGCCAGCGATCAGGACTGAGCCCAGACTTCATCATGAGATACGGAAGTTGAGTCAGAATCTGCAAAGGAGCTGAGCAGGAGCTGCAGGGGGGTAGGAGGAAACTGGCAGTGTAGCCCCTGGGAGTCAAAGGGAGCAAGCTTCAAATGATGCTGAGTGGGTGAGAATGGAGAATGGAACACTGCGTTCCATTTGGCAGCACATAGATCGCTGAGGACCCTGTCCTGGGCAGTTTCCTGGAGGGAGAGGCAAGCCTGGCTGAAGTGGGTAGATGGGAGAGTGAAGGCGAAGGATTAGAGTGTATAGAGACCAATGTTTTGTCTGAGGGGAGTACAGACAGATGACAACCAGAGGGCAGAGGTAGGTTAAAGGTGTTTAGTTTTTCCTTCAAGTAAATGGGCAGATGTATTCCATAGAAGTTCCCAATGAAGGGCCGGGCGCGGTGGCTCACGCCTGTAGTCCCAGCACTTTGGGAGGCCGAGGCGGGTGGATCACCTGAGGTCACGAGTTTGAGACCAGCCTAGCTAACATGGTGAAACCCTGTCTCTGCTAAAAATACAAAAATTAGCGGGGCGTGGTGGCGGGCGCCTGTAATCCCAGGTACTAGAGAGGCTGAGGCAGAAGAATCGCTTGAACCCAGGAGGCGGAGGTTGCAGCGAGCCGAAATCGCGCCATTGCACTCCAGCCTGGGTGACAAAAGCAAGACTCCGGTTTTTGGTTTTTTTTTTTTAATTGCCAATGAGGAAAGGGGAAGCTCTGTGCTAGGCGACAGAGATCCCAACTGTTGAGCAGGCCTCTGCTGTGGCCTTCCGGCCGGTTTCCAGACACTCAGGGTGGCCAACATTAAAGTCCGCATAGCAGTGTGAGGTAAAACACTGAAGCCGGGCCTGCGGAGCCTGGCGGGCAACGGCCCTCTTCCTGGGGCTTCCCTTCAATCTCCGGGACATTTCCCCGACCTGGGGCTCCTCCGCCTCACAGCTAGGCCTCTCTGCAGATTGCAAGTTCACCTGCCACTACCGCTGCCGCGCGCTCGTCTGCCTGGACTGCTGCGGGCCCCGGGACCTGGGCTGGGAACCCGCGGTGGAGCGGGACACGAACGTGGTGAGCGCGGGGCCGAGGGCGTATGGGAAGGGCGAGGACGGGCAGGCCACAGCGCAGGCATTCTCGAAGACTGCCTGGGTGCTGCGCGCAAGGAGCGTTCTAAGTGCCGATTTCCCCGCGGCAGAGAGAGGCTAATTCTGAGCGAGGGCTGAGAGGGGTGCCTGGATTGCCGGCTCCGCAAGGCCTCCACCGGCTGCTAGCAGACCCCGGCCGCTAGCAGACCCCGGCCAAGGCGGACGCAGGCTCCGCGCACGCGCACTTCCCGCACCTTCCCGCCCTCGCCTCCGGCCCGAGGCCACCCTTGTGCGCTTGCGCGGACGCTGGCACCCGCCCCGTTCCCTGTGGTAGGTGGGGGTCTCTGAGTGGAGCTGCCGGAGCGATGAGGTCATTCCTCGGGGCTAAGTGTGCGTGTCCCCGCCCCGGCGTTCCTCCCCCAATGACACAAGAGCTAGATCCCGGCGATCTACGTTTCAGTCTTAACGGTTGCGGCGCGGCGCTGGCCCGGGCGCACGCGCACACTGACACGCGTACACGCACGCACGCGACCGGGGCGGTGGTTGGCAGCTACGGACGCGCGGGACCAGGGGGACGGGCGGGTGCGGCGATGGGCGAGGCGGAGACGCCTTCTTTCGAGATGACCTGGAGCAGCACGACGAGCAGTGGCTACTGCAGCCAAGAGGACTCGGACTCGGAGCTCGAGCAGTACTTCACCGCGCGAACCTCGCTAGCGCGCAGGCCGCGCCGGGACCAGGTGGGAGCCCGGGGGTGCCGGCGGGGGGCGGGAGGCGATTGCTGGAGCTCCGCCCTCCCCGGTCCGTTGCCGCGTCCTGGGTCGGTGGGCAGCCCCACCCTCCCGGCTACGTGGCTCCCCGCGTGTCCTGGCCGGTGGCCTGCCCGCAGAACCGTGTGTAAGACCCCGATTCCACCGCCTCGATACTGGTTGCCTGGGCCCCCATGGTTTCTGTCACAGACAGGTTGAACAGGGAAAGCAGCTGTGTGGCTTGTGGTAGACCTGAGCCGGGCATTATCAAGCTATGACTAAAGCCGACCGAGCAGTCTGGACTAGCACCTCGATTTCCGCGTTCAGATGCTCCTGCTCCCTCCTTGGGGAGACTAGGGGAGGAAGTGGAGAGGGAGGAGTCCTCGCCAGGAATTGAGAAGTATGTTTAGGAAAACTGAGAGGCAGAGAGAGATCCTGCTCCTCCATTTGCACTCCTTTATGGAGCCAGCTGAGCCCTCACCTCTTCCCTGTTCTGGCCTGTCACCAGCTGCTGGAATGTGAAAGATTCTGATCCCTTCCTCTAGGGTGGATCTGGAGAAAGATTTGGAAATGGATAGGAAAGAAGTCTTATTTTGGACCATAAGCATTCAGGAGCACTTTACCCACAAGACGGGGGAAGGGTAGATTATAAAATGCCTAAAGAGGTGGAAAGAGATCCAGGTTACTAACCCAGGACTGTAAGGTGCCTCGGAACCTCCTAGGTATCCCCATTATTAGAGAACTCTGCGCCAGATGCCATGGGTGTGACCACCAGGCTCAGAGAACCAGGCCCAAGCACCAGGAAAAAGAAATAGGGACTGTGAAGCTCAGTATGCCTGGCAGCAATGGGGCGGAAATCCTTATTTAAGTGAAGAAAGTGGAGTTGTGAGTGATGCTTTGGATAAAATTTTACAAAATTCCTTACAAAAGGGGTGGTGCTCAGCACCCCAAAATCTTAGCCCAGAGCTTGGGTGCAAGGGTTGAGTGTAAACCCCTGGGCTTGTCTTCATGTCACTCAGTCCTGAGCCATTTTCCACTGTGGGAAGGTGGGAAAACCACAAGACACTAACCAATTGAAAAGGAGGGCTAGCCACGGAGGCACACACCTGTAATCCCAGCTACTTGGGAGGGTAAGGCAGGAGGATCACTTGAACCTGGGAGGCAGAGATTGCAGTGAGCCAAGATCGTGCCAATGCACTCCAGCCTGAGTGACAGAGCGAGACTGTCTCAAAAATAGAAAAGGAAGCCAAGTGCGGTGGCTCACACCTCTAATGCCAATGCTTTGGGAGGCCGAGGCAGGCGGATCATTTGTGATCAGGAATTCGAAGCCGGCCTGGCCAACATGGTGAAACCCTGTCTCTACTAAACATACAAAAATTAGCCGGACATGGTGGTGTGTGCCTGTAGTCCCAGCTACTTGGGAGACTGTGAATCACTTGAAGCAGGAGGCAAAGGTTGCAGTCAGCCAAGATCGCACCACTGCACTCCTGCCTGGGTGACAGGGTAAGACTCTGTCTCAAAAAAAAAGAAAGAAGGCTGGGCTTGGTGGCTCATGCCTGTAATCTCAGCATTTTGGGAGGCCAAGGCAGGCATATCACTTGACGCCAAGAGTTCAAGACCAGCCAGGCCAACATAGCAAAACCCTGTCTTTACTGAAAATACAAAAAAATTAGCTGACCATGGTGTTGTATACCTGTAATCCCAGCTACTGGGGAAGCTGAGGCAGGAGAATCACTTGAACCCAGAAGATGGACATTGCAGTGAGTCGAGATCGGGCCACTGCACTCCAGCCTGGACGAGAGAGCAAGACTCTGTCAAAAAAAAAAAAAAGAAAGAAAGAAAGAAAAGGAGGCTGAGAAGTCCCAAGTCGTATGTAAAATAAAACCATCAGTTTTAGGCCGGGCGCAGTGGCTCACACCTTTAATCCCAGCACTTTGGGAAGCTGAGGTGGGTGGATCACGAGGTCAGGAGTTCAAGACCAGCCTGGCCAAAATGGTGAAACCCTATCTCGACTAAAAATACAAAAAATTAGCCAGGTTTGGTGGCAGGCACCTGTAATCCCAGCTACTTGGGAGGCTGAGGCAGAGAATTGCCTGAACCCGGGAGGCAGAGATTGCAGTGAGCCAAGATCACACCACTGCACTCCAGCCTGGACAACAGAGCAAGATTCCGTCTCAAAAAACAAAACCAAAAACAGTTTTCATGGACAGTGGTAGAGTGGAGGGTGGGTCCCTATGGTGCAGAAGGGAAATTCCATGGTCCTGCTATGCGTCCAACTGGGATGGCTGTTGAAGTCCTCTTCTAGCAGGCAGCTTTGGAAACAGAAGAAGAAACTCTTCCTCCTTTAGAATCCTGGAAGGGCTGTGTAGTGCCTCTAGTCCAAGTCCCTTGTTTTCTGAGTGAAGATAGGGAGGTTCATTTCCAGAAGGGAAGGGGCTGGAAATGAGGTCACTGCATCCCAACCCAGGGCTCCTGGGTCATCCAGGAAGGGAAGAAGGAGCAAGCTTTCTCATTCTTAGGTAGGAGCTCAGAGCCATCCTTGTGCCCTCCCTGTTCTGCAAACAAAGTGATCTTCCTTCTTGCCCTGGCACTAGAATCTGCCTGGCATTTCTCCTACCCCTAGTACTCCTCCCATCTGGGTGCTTCTTCCCATTGGTGTACTGAATAAACACATCCACTGCTTTATTCATAGCCTCTGGCCCTCATTTTTTCCAGGGCCACACCATTTGTTTTTACTAACCCGACAAGGTTGCCCACTGTCCCCAGTAAGGTTTGTGCTGGGGTTTTCACTCCAATGCTGTTCTCCATCCAGGAGACCTTTGGATACTTGGGGAAGCAAATGAGCTTCAGTTCCCACCCCTCCCCCTTTACCTTTTTCCTGTGAGGCCCTGGCCTCAGTTCTCAGCCCCACATCCTTGCTGGCTGCAGAATAGCAGCAGGTTCTGGGTGAGGAGCATTCTGCTAAAAGGCTCCACCCTGCTCCCTCATCTGTCCTCTCCATTTGTCCCCATCAGATGGTTTAAGCGCTTAAGGGGACTCCAGGGCAGAGTCAGGGAGAACCCTGGCTCTCCTGGGCTGGGCACAAGATCATTCTACAGGAAACCTTGTGGGAATTCTTCTGGGACAAAATATTGGTCAGTGCTGAGCTTAGCTGTGTCTGTGACACTCCCATTCTAAGTAGGGCCTGTCTGACATCAACAGGAAGTTAGGCTGATGCAATGGGGCCAACCAAGGGAGTCTGGGAGAAGAAAGTCAGTTCAGAGGCCTGGCTGCCCTGTCCCACACTCCACCCTTCCGGCAAGAATCTAGTCCCTAGATGAGATGGGGAGTGAGTGGTGGAGTTAAAAATCTTTGGGCCGGGTTCAGTGGTTCACGCCTGTAATCCCAGCACTTTGGGAGGCCAAGGCAGGTGGAACACTTGAGGTCTCCGGAGTTCAAGACCATCCTGGCCAACGTGGTGAAACCCCATCTCTACTAAAAATACAAAAATTAGCTGGGTGGTGTTGTGGCGTGCGCCTGTAGTCCCAGCTACTCGGGAGGCTGAGGCAGGAGAATCGCTTGAACCCAGGAGGCAGAGCTTGCAGTGAGCCAAGATCCAGCCACTGTACTCCAGGTTGGACGACAGAGTGAGGCCTTGTCTCAAAAAAAAAAAATCTTTCGGCCAAATCCCCGGACAGCACTGGCAGGTGCAGAAACCCACCAGGAAGCTGCCTGTGTACCTCTGGCAGATTGGAGCCTGGCCTAAAGCTGCTTTTATGTGCAGCTTGGGTCAAGGTTAAACATCATGTCACAGTGATTTTTCTCATTATGTATGAGACGTGGAGAACTGGCTCCAAGTACTACTCTGTCCACTGGTGGCAGGACTACTGATGTGCACCACTCTCCACTCTTCTCACCTGCAGTGGGTCATGGCCCTGTGCTGGGGCAGAGGATAAAAATGGGCTGCTTTCTCCAGGACAAACCCTCACTCCAACTCAACTAGGGTGCTGTGATCAGAATGTGCAATTGAGGTGTGATTTTACTGTTTTTTTTTTTTTTTTCGAGACCGAGTTTCGCTCTTGTTGCCCAGGCTAGAGTGCAATGGCGCGATCTCAGTTCACTGCCACCTCCGCCTCCCGGGTTCAAGCAATTCTCGTGTCCCAGCCTCCTAAGTAGCTGGGATTACAGGCATGTGCCACCACGCCTGGCCTAATTTTGTATTTTTAGTAGAGACAGGGTTTCTCCATGTTGGTCAGGCTGGTCTCGAACTCCCAACCTCAGGTGATCCACCCGCCTTGGCCTCCCAAAGTGCTGGAATTACAGGCATGAGCCAGCATGCCCAGCCTGTTTTAGTTTTTTGTTTTTTGAAGCAGGGTCTCACTCAGTTCCCCAGGCTGGAGTGCAATGACACAATAATAGTTCACTGTAGCTGTAATCTCCAGGGCTCAAACGATCCTCCCACCTCAGCCTCCTGAGCAGTTGGGACTACAGGCACACACCACCACACCCAGCTAATTGTTTTTTTCTTTTTTTAGTAGAGATGAGGTCTTGCTATGTTGCCCAAGCTGGTCTCAAACTCCTGAGGATCAAGTGATCCTCCTACCTTGGCCTCCCAAAATGCTGGGATTACAGATGTGAGCCACCACACCCAGCCAGATTTTACTTTAAATGAGAGTCCCTCTTCAGAGTCCCTCACCTGTTCTGTCCCCTGGCCATGCTCCTTCAGTTGCCCCTGCTTCTGTGGTATCCTTAGGGCTACATTCAGTGCTGAGGCCCTAGGCAGGCAGCAGAGAGAAGCCAAATGATTCTGCCTTTCCCTTATCCACCCATAGCATGCAGAACCAGGAGCAGTAGTGGGTTCAGGGTGGGCACCAGCTGGCAGCTATGTATAGATACATCAGAGACAGGGGGGCCAAAGGCAGTCAGTTTCTAAGGACTGCCCCAGAGGCCATTTTTCAGAGAAGCTCTGGGTTCCTCAAGGGCCCTGTGTCCATGCTGGCCCATCTTGCAGGACGAGCCCGTGGAGTGGGAGACACCTGACCTTTCTCAAGCTGAGATTGAGCAGAAGATCAAGGAGTACAATGCCCAGATCAATAGCAACCTCTTCATGAGCTTGGTGAGTTGACTGTGCAGGAAAGGAGTGTGGGGAAGAACAGGTACCCAGCTGTGTGCCTGATACCCAGAGGGTCACAACTGAGGTTTTCTTGGGTGGGCCCAAGCAGTAATTTGTGCATACCCAGCCTAGCCCCAAGTAGACTGACATCTCACCTGGAACCTACTATCGTTTGATTTCTCTATTTCTTTAGAACAAGGATGGTTCTTACACAGGCTTCATCAAGGTTCAGCTGAAGCTGGTGCGCCCTGTCTCTGTGCCCTCCAGCAAGAAGCCACCCTCCTTGCAGGATGCCCGGCGGGGCCCAGGACGGGGCACAAGTGTCAGGCGCCGCACTTCCTTTTACCTGCCAAAGGATGCTGTCAAGCACCTGCATGTGCTGTCACGCACAAGGGCACGTGAAGTCATTGAGGCCCTGCTGCGAAAGTTCTTGGTGGTGGATGACCCCCGCAAGTTTGCACTCTTTGAGCGGGCTGAGCGTCATGGCCAAGGTGGGATTCCCACCCCACCCTGCTCTATGTGAGAGTATATACACATGCACCTGTGCATGCAAGGGCTGAGCAGCTGGCCCTGTCTCTGATCATTACTTCCCCTTCACAGTGTACTTGCGGAAGCTGTTGGATGATGAGCAGCCCCTGCGGCTGCGGCTCCTGGCAGGGCCCAGTGACAAGGCCCTGAGCTTCGTCCTGAAGGAAAATGACTCTGGGGAGGTGAACGTGAGTACATAGTTCTCCTTAGTTTCTTGGTTGTCACTAGATGGGACTGATGGGCTGTAGCTACAGTAAGGCTTGAAGGAGGAATTGTGCTGGAGGACAAGCCCTGCAAAACAGTTCCAGGAGTGTATAGGCATTATAACTAAAGCAAAGGCTTCCAGACCACTCATGCCAAAGCCTAGGGTTGTCCCAAGAAGCCAGGAAGAATTGTCTTGGTGCTTTGGTCTTTCCTGGTGTGGAAAATCTGGAGATGCAGGAGTCCATCTAATGACATGAGGAGGCCCCCTTCAGACTTTTTACCTGGAAGCTTTCTGGCTCCAAGGTATTAGGCCTGTGGAGTGGAATTAGAATATGCCTGACCTGTCCACAGGTAATCGGGGAACATCTGATTTGGTTGCCTCAGTAAGGTGACCATTTTGTAGGGCCCATCTTCCATACAAACTGCTGTCAGGGATCCTAGCAGAGATCATTCAGCCAAAAGCCTGACATCAGAAAGCCTAGTCCTAGCTTGTGTGAACATGAGGTGCTAGTCTTCTCTGGGGAGGGTCTGCTGACTTGGCCATCCCTTCTGCAGCCTGTACACTCCCCTTTCGCCCCTTGCAGTGGGATGCCTTCAGCATGCCTGAACTACATAACTTCCTGCGTATCCTGCAGCGGGAGGAGGAGGAGCACCTCCGCCAGATCCTGCAGAAGTACTCCTATTGCCGCCAGAAGATCCAAGAGGCCCTGCACGCCTGCCCCCTCGGGTGACCTCTTGTACCCCCAGGTGGAAGGCGGAGAGCAGGCAGCACCAAGTGCATGCCGTGTGAGTGTGACAGGGCCAGTGGGGCCTGTGGAATGAGTGTGCGTGGAGGCTCTCCTCTGCTGGGGGAATGAGCCCAGGGAACAGCGAAGGAGCTTGCCCCCTGTGTCCACCTGTGGGTATAGCCGGGTATGGCTCTGCACCCCTTGCACCCCTCTGCCCCTCATTACTGGGCCTTGGTGGGCCAGGGCTGCCCTGAGAAGCTGCTCCAGGCCTGCAGCAGGAGTGGAGCAGACAGAAGTCTCCTCAATTTGTGTCTCAGAAGTGAGAATCTTGGAGATGCTACAAACAGAACAGGGTCGTGTTTGCAGGGGTGAGGGCCCTCATCTATGGGGAAAGGTTTTGGATTTTGAATGTGGTCTCAGGATATCCTTATCAGAGCTAAGGGTAAGTGCTCAGAATAAGACAGGCATTGAGGAAGAGTCTTGGTTTCTCTCTGCAGTGCCAACTCCTCACACACACTGAGGTCAGGGAGTGCTGGCTCACAGTGCATCAAGTGCCTTAATGCCTCATATGAGGAGGATGTCCCTGGGCCAGGGTCTGTGTAAATGTGGGCACTGGCCCAGGTTCATACCTTATTTGCTAATCAAAGCCAGAGTCTCTCCCTCAGGTATTTTTCATGAAGTGTATGAATGTATGTAATGTGTGGTGGCCTCAGTTGAATGCCTCCTGTGGGGAAAGGGGTAGGGGTGACAGTCATCATCAGGGCCTGGGGCCTAAGGGAATTGGCTGAATAAAGATTTAAAGATCCTCCTACTGTTGGAATCTTTTATACATACAAAGTTTTTATGAGTCTCCCTGTGTTGCCCAGGATCCTCCCAACTTGGCCTCCCAAAGTGTTGGGATTACAGGTGTGAGCCACCCTGCCCAGCCTGGACTCTTTATTATAGGTGGAGAGCTGCAGTTGCCCCTCATGGTGCCGGAAGTTGCCAAGGGTTATGGACAGGCTCACAGGTGTCTTGCAAAGTCACCATGGACCAGTCTGTGAAGCAGATGTAGTATGCATATATACTCAGTCATCATTCAGCTCCCTGGGGCTCAGGTTGTGGTGGAGACAAGAATGGACTGCAGTTAGAACTCAGGGAAACTGGCCAGGCATGGTGGCTCACACCTGTAATCCCAACACTTTGGGTGGGCTAGGCGGGCAGATCACTTGAGGCCAGCAGTTCGAGGCAAGCCTGGCCAACATGACGAACCCCATCTCTACCAAAAATACAAAAGATTTAGCTGGGCGTGGTGGTGGGCACCTCTAGTCCCAGCTACTCAGGAAGCTGAGGCAGGAGAATCACTTGAACCCGGCAGGCAGAGGTTGCAGTGAGTGGAGATGACACCAGTGCACTCCGATAGAGCAAGACTCCGTCTCAAAAAAAAAAAAAAAAAGGCCGGGCACAGTGGCTCACGCCTGTAATCCCAGCACTTTGGGAGGCCAAGGCGGGTGGATCACCTGAGGTTGGGGGTTCAAGACGGCCTGACCAGCATGGTGAAACCTGTCTCTACTAAAAATTTTTTAAAAAATTAGCCAGGCGGCCGGGCGCAGTGGCTCAAGCCTGTAATCCCAGCACTTTGGGAGGCCAAGACGGGCGGATCACGAGGTCAGGAAATCGAGACCATCCTGGCTAACACGGTGAAACCCCGTCTCTACTAAAAAAAAAATACAAAAAACTAGCTGGGCGTGGTGGCGGGCGCCTGCAGTCCCAGCTACTCGGGAGGCTGAGGCAGGAGAATGGCGTGAACCCGGGAGGCGGAGCTTGCAGTGAGCTGAGATCCGGCCACTGCACTCCAGCCTGGGCGACAGAGCGAGACTCCGTCTCAAAAAAAAAAAAGAGTGAAACTCCATCTCAAAAAAACAAAACAAAACAAAAAAAAAACCGAGAAACCATCCCTTCAACACACACACACACCACGCTCTGGGAGAAGGTGTGACATAACCCCTTCACCAAATACTGAGCTGCCACCGTGGACCAGACACTGCTCATGGCACCGAGGGTATAGCTGTTAACAATTCTTGCTTTCATTAAAGCATGGACTCTGCTGGGTTTGAAAACTCTGAATTCGAAGTTCTTCACACCTGAATATAACTATGTGAATCTGGCCAGTTCCTTAATTTTCCTTCAACTTTGTTAGTTCACATAAGCGTGGCAATCGCAAAAATACAGCTGTGAAAATAGAAGCCAGATGGGCACCCAGCGGTCTGGCCTTAGGCCCTGAAGTGCTGGTTGAGGATTGGTGGTTGAGAAGGCCTGCTAGGCCTGAACTCAGGTGTTGGGGGACGTCGGAGCCTCCAAATACACCCAAGAGAGCGGGAGGACTCACGGCCACCACTTTCCTCCGTGGGAACTGTCACAGCTGGTCAGATCGCGGCTTGCTGGGACCCGAGATCTCGTAACGCATGCTGGGATGCCCAGCATCTAAGGGCGCCCATTGGTCCCGTCCCCACGCCTTGAGCAACAGCCAATCAGAGGGGGCAGCGTGCGGAAGCGGAAGTGAGGTTTCCGTGGAGACAGCAGAGCCTGCGGAAGGCGGCGGCGGCGGCGGCGGCACCTGCGAGCAGCGGCTAGGGCAGGTTATGGTGGAGCGGACTGCGCTGTGAGCAGAGCGGCCGCGGGGCCCGCCATGCGCCGGCGGCCCTGACATGGGCGCCAGCGGGTCCAAAGCTCGGGGCCTGTGGCCCTTCGCCTCGGCGGCCGGAGGCGGCGGCTCAGAGGCAGCAGGAGCTGAGCAAGCTTTGGTGCGGCCTCGGGGCCGAGCTGTGCCCCCCTTCGTATTCACGCGCCGCGGGTAAGGGCATGGCTTCCACCCTGGCGGGGGGAACAGGCAGGCGGCCAGGCGGCCCGCGCCACGGGGGAACTTCCACCGCCGTACCCCACTACAGCCAAGCCAGGACGACCCCCATATTTTGAGCCCCATTGGAGCTAGGGGTGGAGAAAGCCGGGTAGTGGTCTCCTGGCGGCCTGGCCACTCTGGAAGTCTCCCTAGGGAAGAGTGGGCCTGAGGCTTGTCACTGGGCAGACCTTCCGCACGGTAAAGCTAAGCTAGGGCCTCCATAAGACCTCAGGATCTCTTCCTTTCATCCCTTCCGGCTCAGCCTGCATACTGAAGGCTCCTAGCCTCCCTTTCCCCCCAATTATTCCAAGGGGATAATGATCCTCTGTTTAGGCTGTTTTTCCTGACAGTAGTGGGACTGAACCTCTCAGAGTAGTGGCTGGGAAAGCAGGGATAGGCCCCAGTACTGGGGGTGAGGCTGAGGAAAAAGATCCTCACTCAGTTATGTTCTCCAGATCCAGAACGCTGACCTACCCACCCAGTCCCCACCCCAGTCTCCCAGAGGCCCGGACAAGAGTACCAGATTGGCTTGGCTGTAGTGGGCTCCTGGACATGGGCGCTCCCCGTGCTGGAGATTTGGCTGTAGACACCAGGAAGACCCAACAGTGGCAATTCACCAGCCACCTGGGGTGTGGGGTCAGGGGAGACACAGCCTTCGTTCTTTTGGGCTCCTTCCTAGCTTAGGCATTTGCTATTTCAGTCTTTGACACTGGGCCAGCAGCATCTTCTGCAGTGAGACCAACATGCCCAGGCCACCACCCTGTCCACTCTAGAAGTCCTGGGTGAGGGCAAAGGCCTGATATTAGAATGGCTGCCCTTGCTGAACAAATCAATGATGAGAACTGGCCTTGGTGGCTGCCTGGATGGTGTGCTTTGGTGTGGCCTCTCTTCTTGGGGGTCTGACATAGTAGCACTGCCCACCCATCACCTCTCTTTCCAGTTTCTTCTAGTAGACCCCAAACCTCAGGCAAAGGATTCTCCAGGCATGCCAGGCATGGTGGCTCACGCTTGTAATCCTAGCACTTTGGGAGGTCAACGCGGGTGGATTGCCTGAGTTCTTGAGTTCGACACCAGCCAGAGCAACATGGTAAAATCCCATCTCTACTAAAATACAAAAAGTTAGCAGGGTGGTGGTGCGTGCCTGTAGTCCCAGCTACTTGGGAGGCTGAGGCACGAGTGTTGCTTGGACCTGGGAGGCAGAGGTTGCAGCGAGCTGAGATCGCACCACGGCACTCCAGCCTGGGCGACAGAGTGAGACTGTCTCCAAAAAAAATTTTTTTTTTTTTTTTTGAGACGGAGTCTCACTCTGTCGCCCAGGCTGGAGTGCCATGGCGCGATCTCAGCTCACTGCAAGCTCCGCCTCCCGGGTTCACGTCATTCTCCTGCCTCAGCTTCCCAAGTAGCTGAGACTACAGGCACCCGCGATCACGACCTGCTAATTTTTGTTATTTTTAGTAGAGACGGGGTTTCACTGTGTTAGCCAGGATGGTCTCGATCTGCTGACCTCGTGATCCACCTGCTTCAGCCTCCCAAAGTGCTGGGATTACAGGCGTGAGCCACCGCACCCGGCAAAAATTTTTTTAAAAAAGGATTCTCCAGGCATATTATCCTCTTTTCTTCCCACTTGAGTTAGGAAGACCACAGACTTCCCTGTGGCCTGTGACATTTGCCATGCCTAGGTGTGGGGCTCCGACCCAGCCTGTTCCCCTCTCCCTCTGCGCAGCTCTATGTTCTATGATGAGGATGGGGATCTCGCTCACGAGTTCTATGAGGAGACAATCGTCACCAAGAACGGGCAGAAGCGGGCCAAGCTGAGGCGAGTGCATAAGAATCTGATTCCTCAGGTGAGGGGCTGGGCAGTGGTCACAGAGCCTACAGTAAGCGTATGGAGGTAGACCCAGATGGGATCTGTTGTCATGGTGAGGGGGGATCTGGGAGGAACAAGGAAGCTTCCTGAAGTAGAGGCCCTGCGCTGACCCTCACTAGCCTCTGTTTCCATGGCAGGGCATCGTGAAGCTGGATCCCCCCCGCATCCACGTGGATTTCCCTGTGATCCTCTATGAGGTGTGACCCTGGGAGGTGGCAGACGGAAGCACCCCCTGCCCCAGCAAGAAACTCCCAGGCTCAATCAAGGTGTGACTTCCATTGAGGAGCCCAGGCTGGGGCCACAACCCTGAATAAACTCCATTGGCCCATAACCTTCAGCTGTGAGCGGGTCAGTCCCGCAATATTAGTTGGGTGTTGGTTTTTGTATGGACAAGAGGTGGTTGGTGGGTGGTGAAGGCTAATGGCAGAGTTAGCACCCCACTCTCCCCAGCCACCCCTGCAAGAAGTACGGCAGGGCATATAACAGTCAGGAATGCCCGTTACCTGGTTCCTTGCCTGGTCTGCCTTCTTCCAAGTTTGCCTGGGGCCTAGCCCTGCTAGAGGCTACAGCACTTTACAAGCAAGGTATGCCTTCTTCCAGCCCCTAGGCTGTGGGCACTGTATACAAGTAGGAACTTCCTTTCCTTTACTTCCCTTTTAACCCCTAGTCAGAGCATTTCAGCCGTTTGCTACCTCGATTCCTCCTGTGTTGGACAGAGGCTGGGGGCAGTGCCAGCCTGATTCTTCCAACCTACCTGCCATTTGTTCCCGCCTTCAGATGGATGGACAGTTTGCTGGCTATTGATAGGAGTAGGGACTGGGTGGGGGCTTCTCCCTCTACCCAGGGCTGGGCTGATCCCCCTACTGCAACTAACTGTTCCCCCCACACCCCAAACCCCCAGTTGAGGAATTGAGAGGGTGCAGGCTGGGGTCAGGACATGCTGTGGATGCTTGTGCCTATGGGGAGTTATTCCAACCCACCTATTCTGTCTAATCCCCATGGCTTTGCACCAAATCCTCCACCCCTCCAATTGGGAGGGGACTGTTCACCACCTTGTGGTAAGG